CTCCTCCGCATCTATTCCTGTAATCTTGCCCCCCTCCTCCTCCCTCATTTTGGTGACTTTTATTCATGTTTTTGGACCTTCTGTTCCACTCAGGCAACCGTTCTCAAATAAAAGTTGAACAATATAGAGTCAGTAAAAGAATTCCAATACTGCGCTCAGGTGACCTACAGCAAACCTTCCACTGAGAGTAACGAGCTTTTACCAGAAACAATATTTGGCTTCCGTACTCAATTTCGTGCCCGGTATGAGGTCCGGATTCACACGACATTCAGATTGCGAGACCAAGAAACAGAGGAGACAAAAAAAAAAATTTCAGAGCCAAAAAAAAAGACACTACAACAGAACACAACTCAACATTGAGACTAACCGGGGAATACTTAAGCGTGGAATGCCAATAAGAGAAAAATACTATTTGAATAACAGCGAGTGTTCAGTTAGATGGTATGAATCCAAAAAATTTATGTATTTCTCAGTACTTTTTGCCTCTTCGCTTAATTAAAACAAGACACCTTCAAAAATACTCAGTAGTTCAAGGAATATGACAAACAACTTCATAGACTCTGTGAGAAAAAGTGCCCTTTCAATTTTTTTCAAGAATTTTTGCCTTAGTTTTAGGTTGGAATACAGCTTTTGCGTCTTGTGAAACGTTGGAATCTTCAACATCTAACCAACACGTCCCGAAAATGAACCCCTTTAACTGGATAACTGACCTCTTCATAGTGTTCGCAGAATTTGATCGCTGTTTAATTTCGGCTGTTCCTACAGAACAAAGCTCAGAATCCACCACTCTAAATCACATCACATTCTGGCTTTTATTACTTGAACGTTACTGTAACTGAGACTTTTGAACCATTAACCCATTTTTCTCTGGTACAACAACACAAATAATTTCTTGGTTTACAGTAATATACTGACTTTTTTTCTGAAAAGAACCGAAACAGAACCTGTCAAAAATTCATTGATCAACCAGTAACGATGTGTATGTGCAGCCATCATTCTCAACTATCCCATTACCCATATAAAGTTAGGCGCCGCTTAAAATCAGAAAAGTACAGGTGACTGACTTTTACTTTTGAGAGCTAACTTTTGTTCCCAACAGTAAGAGTACCTTAAAAAACCAACCTTTTTGCCTTTCCCGACTGCACAAATACAATTTATTTGAGTTCTCTAAGTAGACCTTAGTTTCTCTTTTTCTTCGAAGCCACAAGTGCATGGCCACCATCTGAAAAGTTGCGGCCGACAAGTTTCTTACCGGTTAATGGAACCTTCCAAAATCAGTTGTGATGTTCTCTGCAGCTAAAGCGAATGGGACATACAGATGATAAGCTTATTTCAAAAGAACTGGTGAACTCCACTTCATCCTACAGTTCTTCACTTAGCAAAAATTTTTTCAGATTTACTGTAATACACAGTGATCCTGAACATGCCATCCAATTAGAAACGGAAAGTCACGTGGTAAAGCTAAATGTCTCATAAGGTTGATCTGCAAAGGCTCGACAAAACGCCTATTATTTTTCAAGTCGATGGTACCTGTCCATAATTTTCTGAGGAGGCAAATTAGGCTGATGAAGGCAAAATGCAGTCAGCAGTTTTGGCATGGTGAAGAGATGACCATTCTGCATATTCTGTCAAATGATCTTAATTTTGTCAAAGAACGTAACGAAAACTGTTTATACACACGCAAAAAACTGTGCACGAGTATCAGATATGAGACCAAATATATGAAAAGTAAACAAGTCATAAACGACTAAATCTATAAAAAAAGAAAAAAAAAATCCAGGCCGCACTTAGTCATTCGGAATAAGGTTGGAAATGCTCGACTACACAGAATATTTAATCTAGAAAAGAAGCGCTGAGTTATGAACAATCAGTCTTTTTCCATGTATTTCAACTGAACTGGGAACAACGGTCACTTGCTGCAGCCGTAAAAACTGGGAAGGACGTGCTAAAATACCGCATTCCCGAGACCAGCTTTTTGCACTCTTAAAAGTGATGTATATCAATAATTACTTCTCTCTGGGTGTACACCTTATTATACCCTGAAGCTTGAACCTGTGAACAGCTTAGGCGCGGAAGGCGCAAAAATGTTTCCCGCAAACTTTCTGTCCATTTCTGTCCAGTTCCAACTTGGCCAGTAAAAGAGAAAAATAAACTAAATGACCTACTACATGCAAATCTCAATCTATTTTTCAAGAAAATCCCACTATGACAGTTTCTTTTCAAAATTGCTACCAAAGAACAAATCGTGGCGTCTGTCTCATGGTAACGATCACTTTCAACAATTTTCGTACACCAAATATTGTAGGTCTTCTCATTCAAGTTCCGCTAGATCTTCTGAAATACAGAGCGTAATTCTAAGAAGCTCTGTGGCCATCCGTTTACAACTCCAAGCAGCAAAACCCTTAAACCCTCTCTACAGCCTAAACCCAACCTATCTCCACAAAAAACCCTTCTTTTGTTAGAAAGTGTAGAAATAAGCTCAATTTACTTCCCTGCAATAAAACATGCCTCTAAATTACAAAAAATCAACTTTATTGCACCCTTCCACTTACTGCAGCCAAAACGATTACAGCCTTTGGGTAAGAAAGTTGTCATTGTCGAGAACTTATTAACTCCTTCCCTGTGACCTAAAAAAACGCTACTACCCTGTAATAAAAACCATACCTAAAACTCTACATAACGAATTTGACCGTTCCTAGTCCACAACACAGAAAAAACTTCATATGCAGACATACAAAAAAAACATCTTCCATGAACTTCAAGTCATACCACTAAAATGTAACCTTTATACTACCCCCCAAATACAGTTTCGCCTTTTGCTTCAGACTGTTTTCTTCTGTCTATTTCTTACTTCTTAGAGTTCTCCAGCGCTTTTCAAATTGCCTACAACTACCAACTGTTCCAAGGCCTCGGGACTCTATATCAAAGAAAACTATCAGCCCATCAATCTTAGTCTGACTCAGCTTGTATGAACAGTTCCCATTCACTGTACCTCGTCTGTCTCGACAACTCATATTTCAGAATTTTGAAGGATATCTGAGTAGCTTTCGTTAGTCCGGATGACAACAGCTGTAGAATTTTACACTGATTAAAGTTGAAGTATATTTCTTTCTTTTGCAGAAATACGACATCACTTCAAAATCCATCATGCATACTCATAACGCATCTATACACACAGTTGTATAGATTTATCTTCTAAACTGAGTCAAGACAAAGCAGTAGCGGTAAGCACGTTTGTAAATGTTCTCTTCCTCTTTCTCTTCTTTTAAGTGAATTGAAGTTTGCTTAATAGAAAAATGCTTTGATTTTTTCTCATCAAAGCACGCAACCGCTTATTCTCTGTTCAAGTACCTCAGAAATAAAAAGATTTCCACGTATTCCGCAAAACTCTCATAGTCGGTTTGCTCTTTCCAACCCTATTTCAATCTTGCACATTGAAAAAAGGAACATTTGAAATGAGGTATAATTGTACAGAAAAATAACCAAAAAAACAATACATTACTCGGACTTGTAATTTACTTCAAAGCATACGTTTGGCCATCTGCAGAAGTCGGAACGAATTTTGACTAAGAAAATCATAAATAAGCTCTAAAAACCTAAAATCATGCAAAAGAGCTTCCCTATTACGAAAAGCAGCAAAACTCGCGCAAGCATCCTTATCTAATAATTTTTTAAATCAATTTGATACGACTATTAGATGACTCTGGCTGGATAAGTGCCCTCTTACCTGAAACTTTTAACTAGCAACCTCCAGCCTGTAGTTAATCCACTAAATTCATAATTCACCTCTATCTTTGAGAGAGTAAACTATAAAACGACCACAAACAGCAATCTCTTAAATCAACTTAGAAGAAAAGCTAAAATACCTTCTGCATGCGGTAATGATCTATTCCACTTTCAAATAAAAAATTGCTCTATTACTGGCCTATCCACTGCAAATGGTCCTCAGAAAAAACTTCCAAAAAAAACCATTATTCTGGGATTAACCTATATTAATCCTCTCAATACACAAATTGCAATTAATTAATGTGGCTTTACCTACCAACAGATTTTATAAACGTAGGTACCTAATGCTCTCAATAAATATCTCAGAAAATATAACAGAATTTTGCCGGGAATTTGGGTCTATAAACAGTCGCTTAGAACGCCTCTGTTGCCTTAGTGCTCTGAAACTTCAAAAAACAGCAAGGACGCAACAGCTCTGCATCCTAACCCTGCGAAAAAATTTGACGGTTTCTCAAAAGAAAAAAAAAACTGGTTCAGATACTGGAAATACGAAGTGCTAATGAAAAGTTACTCAAACTTTTAACTTACCTATAAAAAGCGATCCAAAAAGTCAAAGCGGAACGTCAAAAACCGTTACGTAATCAGGAAGCCCTACCTAGTACATCATAAGGTTGTTTCCTAAAGCTATTATTCTATAGCACATTAACTTCCGAAATGTTACTGGTATTCCAAAAAGGTGACTTGCTCCTCTGTGACAATAGCCAAAAAATGTTTTAGTACACTAAAGGTGAAGTTCAGATATTAGAAAAAATTTTAGATGACCTTTGAAGACTTACTGAGTGAGCGGAAAAAGGCATAAAAATGCAATTATTCTGAACACGAACTATTACATGTTGACGGATAGAGCAATGCCGTTTGTGTTAGATTCAGAAAAAAAACATGATTAGGCTACTGCTAATCATTATTAAGCCTGTTTCTTTGAGACCACTCTATAGAAACGTTGTATTTTTTCTACAGTTGCTCAAAAATCATTACCTTACGCCCGCAATTACTTGACGAAACTCATATAAAACATTTTGATTATAGACTGATTAGACCTCACTGGGCATGCTTTTGTTAGAAAGATAAATTGTGCTAGGTACAACATGATTTCTTCAGCGTTTCCACGTGCAAAACCCCTTTACAACACTGTATAAATCGGCCTGTGAATATTATAATCTGCATTACTTGAATCCACGATTCAACAAATGTCAATATGACACAAAATCCAATAAAACCAAAAATTTTTCTCTGCATACGAAATACTGAATTAGTTTCAATTAAAATTTGCAACCCCGGAATGCTTTTCTTTCCTATGTGACAAAGCTTTCAAATTAAAGTTTGGAAACTTATTAAACAAAAATTCTTTCAGTCCTTATTTAATGTTATAATCAGACCAATATTTAGAATTTTTGTAATTTTCCCACTCTACATCTTGTATTTGATTACTGTTTTCCCAGTTTATTCTCTGAGGTTATTTCAAATTTCTGGTAAGTCATATGCAAACATTATGAATTACAAACGAATAAATCAAATAAGATTACCGTCATCAGTTTTGTTTCTTTTAACGGCATCAGAAACCTCGCTTTCATTACCTCTTTTTTGTCCTTTCTTACGTACCAATTCAGTAATATCATCTATAGGTTTATTCGTCGACTTGCTTCCACTACAAACTGGTTGCTCGCCTGCCAAAGCTCTAGCTAACTTCTCCATAGCAACCCTTTTTAACTTCTAAATACGTTAGAGAGTCAAGTGTTGAAATAGCCAGATAAGATTACTGGCTTCAGCACAATATTTAAAAATATACTCCATACACTCCATACACAAAACATTTAGAAACTACTTTGAAATTCTGACACGTAAGTCTGAAGACGAAAAACCGTTTAGCTACCTCTGCTTCTGCACTCCCCTCACAATCTTCAATCTTCAGTTGTATTTCTGGGACCAACTCCTTTAATTCCTCTAGCTCTTTTTTAACTCCATTTTCTTCCTCGCCTTTCAAATTCACAACCAATTCTTCCAAATGACCTTCAAATTCAATCAAAATAAAAAAAACAGAAATGTAATAATCAAATAATGCGAGGAATAAAACTCCACGACAGATACCTCTAAATTTGATCCGAAAAATCTTGGTAGAATTCCAAAAAACTTAGCATAACAAATATTAGAAAACAAATGAATACAAATCTAAAATCTTCCTAAATACCGAACCTCTTAATAAAAAAAATATTTGACAGGACAGAAAATTCTAGCACAAAAATACTGATGACAATGACTGTATTTCTGGAAAAAACTTCGAAAAACTAACTGCATTTAGCCAGCAAAACATTTTTAGCTTTAAAAAAGTAGTTAGCAGCTGGTCCAAATTGCCCACTAAGACAACAAGCTTGGCCAGCTTGATAATTAGCTTCCGCGAGGCGACGATCGAACGGCTCAAAAATGGTCTGGGCGAGCTCAATACAAGCGTCCAAATCTTCTACAGCTTGCGCATAATTTTCCCCTTCTAAGGAACACTGCGCCAAAACCAGAAGAACTTCAACCTTTTTCTCCTTCCAACCTTCATCATCTATATTCCTAAAAATATTTTTACAAACATAGAAAAATAGTAACTATAACCTACTGTAAAAGTAAATGGAAGAAAAGCTGAAAGAGTACCGATCGCAAACAGCCCTTGCAACCTCCAAAACTTCCCAAGCTAACTGTAAAGCCCCAGCTTCCTCCTCATCTTCCGCCACAACTTCTTCTAACTCTTTCTTTTCTGCATACTCTGCACCACCGTTGTTACTGTCTGCATTAGCAGTGCTGCATTCCCCTCCGCCTACATCAACGGCCTGCTCGTCTACTTCTTCAGCGCGTTTTCCTTTCTCGACTTCTTCATTGCGCCCTTCATCTTCAGTTTGCTTACCTTCCACTATTTCACTTTCACCGCTCTAAAGATTTCATGAAGCTAAATAGAACCTGAGCAGAATATAATCACCAATGACACTCACTGGACCTGTGTTAAAATGAAGCAAAATTTATATTAAAAAATGCAACCAGAAGTTGTCCAATTGAGTAGAAAAGAATACAACAATTAAGAAGATTTAAACCACAAATTCCATATTGACTCTTATAACCGAATATAACAACAGTGAAATTCTTCACTTATTAAAGACGTCACTGTTAGATAAGTTATACAACCCTTAACGTAATCTGTATGCCCAAGCCAACCTGGGTAAAACAATACGGACCGTCACTTGCACAGGTTCTTAAAGACACCTCTTGAACTACTAAATTACTATGCAGTTTAAAAAAAAGACACTCAGTCGATAAGGAACCCAAAGAGCAAGGCAAACGAAGGTGGCCAAATGTGTTGGCTTCTGGTATTTGAGTTACAATTCAAAAAAAAAAGAAGCTGCAATTTAACAGAGAATCCCTTAAAGAAAAGTAATAAAAACACTTTGATTTTAAAAAATTATCTTAATATCCACTAAACATTTCGTAAGGTATTTTAGAGAAGGTAAAAGTTCAGATAATGAGTTAAAATTTGAACTTCAGGTTTACCAACCAGAAATAAGTACACACATTTTAGCCAAGAAATGAGATTATGATTAACAAACCTCTACGAGCTTTTCTGATTTTAACGAAGTATCTCCTCTGTGAACCCCACTTTGCTCAACTGCAGCAATTTCTAAAAAATTTTCCGACATACAATAACAGACGTAGACTACTACACTGAAAGTACGAATAACTGCTAAAAAACCCCAAAGAACTGTAAAACATTTAGTCTAAAACGACACTGCTAAATAGGAAGCGGATAGGTTGTCAAACTACTAAATTAAATAGAGTACAGAGACAACGCTGCCGCAAGATGCACTCAGTACAAATACTGACGACATTCTTCAGCATTTCAAAAATGCAAAGAAGGTACCAGTTCCCGAATCAGCTTCCTGCTCTTCAGAATCTGTATCTTCATCGATATTATCTTCACCTCCAATTGCTTCTGTAATCAAGTTACCTTTCTGGACGCGTTCCAACTCTAACAAAACCTTCCCGTAATAAAAATGGGGCTCGAAAACACCCTTGTCTAGTTCGCCAAATAGTTCAACCCTGTGTCAGAATAACAAATAAAGTAACTGCACATTTGTCAGAAAATCAGACTTTAAACAATGGGGATATACGACACCAAACCAAGAAAAGCGTGATGATTTCCAAAAATTACAGTAAATGCCACAAAAACAAAAAGATAAAATTGCTACGAGAGTTGAGCAGCATTGCTCAGGTCGTCAGCAGCAGCCTGAAATTCATTTAGCGCCAATGCCCGTTTTCCTTCGTTTAAAGCATTTTCGAATTCTTGTTTTTTACTGCAACAGGAACAGATTCAAATGACTAAAAATGAGGAGTACAGAATCATCCCATAAGTGTGAAAAAGAAAAAAGATATGAGTTTAAATCAGGAAAAGAAAAACGAACTCATTGCTAGAATCTGTCATAGCTGAGTCGTTTGCAAAGGCGACCATGTAGACCCACTAAATGAAGCAAGTGGAGATGAGTGACGCAATCGTAGTTGATCAGATGCTAGGAAAACGTACACTTCCTATTACTGTTAAGAAACTATAAATTAATTAAAGCTAATATTCTTGATAAAAAAAAAAAAAAAAAAAAAGGACAACTATGTAAGAGGTCTAGATACACAATAAATCTTCAGCTTTACGGCCGCGTAACTTGGTGTGAACACGTATTGATCGATGGAAAATTATGGAATTGTAGACTTAAAATACCGTCTACCTGTTCAGAATGTACAAAAAGAAAACAGCAAAAAGAAAAGTTTTCAAACTGCAGTTTTTTTCACAGCTTTTAGACTCGTTTCATCTTACTTCCGTTTCACTCACAGAACATAGCTTAAATTGCAACTGAAGCCTTTAAGAGAAGATTTGGAGCGCCAAAAACGTCCGCTAGGAAGACTATGATGATGATATATAAAAATGTTCAAAGCTGCTGTTAGCTCGTATTTTACACGGTTTTCCTGAGCAGAAAATCAGCCAAGTAAGAGCACATTTTAGATGCAATCCTAAACACAACAAATAGTGCCACCATATGACGGCAGCCAACAATGAATAAGTCTAGGAAGAATCACATCTTCACCATCAAATAAGCGTCTAATATCAACTGTATAAGTATCTAGATGTAAGACAGAGACAGTTAATCCCAATAAGACCGCCAGCAAACAATTAGACAATAGTAGCAGCAACGGTCAGCTACCGCTGAGTAACTTTAAGAATAATACGTTAAGAAAATGTCCTCATGCATATAAAAACTTGTCAATGAAATTCCATTCATCGACTTCAATTCAAAAACTAAACAAAAAAAATTACTGCAAATATCTACGGTTTATTGAATAGGATGACACTCAACAACGGACAACAATGCTATACAATTGCTAATGAACTCCAGAACCTGGATGCATAAACGGAAATTGGTGATCCTGATAGATTTTCCACAAACCGGACAGTGCTTCAAAATTTGACCATCAAAGTTCCCGCCAATCAATTTTTGAATTTCTTCCAACAACCCCATCATAAAAAAAAAGTACCACGATTTGTTGCATTTATACTTCACGTTCAGAATCTCCTGATGTTACAAACTGTTCAACACGTGTTGTATGCAGTTTTATATATTCACTATGCTGAGGAAAATGTATTTCAGTTCTTTGTAGCCTGTAAATAGCAGCGAATTTATAAGTAAACAAAGCAATGGTATTCTCTCGGTCGTCATACAGTGATATCCAAAATGTCTGGTGTTCATCCAGACAATGCGTATAATAATTTGTTCGGCCTTCAACTTCCTATTATCCTTATGGGGCAGATTTTTGAGTTTTTTTTAAAAGCAAAGGAAAGCAGTAACGTTGGAAGTTACCCTGAGTATTTTTCTTTTTCTTCTGCTGAGCAAAGGTGCAGCTACACCATAGCCACCTTTGAGAAGTTTCAATTTCTTGGGAAAAAAAGAACGTTTAAAAGCATTCTCCCCCTGTACCGATGTCTATAACCTCCCCAAATTTGCACTTGTAAGGTCTAAGCTCCAGAAGCCTTCAAAAAATGCGTTTTTATTTCATATATTTTTTGGATTTTGACTTGACGTACCACTATGGTCTTGCTTGAAGTCATCACAGTTCCAAATCTGCTGGCCTGAGCAAACCAACCTGACAACATAACGGTGTTAACCTAATTGATTTTGAGACTCAAGAAACTGCAAGCAATCATTTTATTTTTGTTTTCTTACCTTCAACCTCGATAAGCTTCTAAATAGCGTCGCCCTTCCATTTCAGTCAGAAAGTCCTGATAAATACCAAGCTAGTGTGGGAGTTTTTTCTTGTTTATTTTCGACCACTTTGTCTTACGGTTTCGGATTCGGGAGTTAAAGTTTAACACAAACAGTAGCTTTTGCTGCTAAATACCATGTATTTTTCTTCATCGTTCTTCCTTCCCCACCCCACATTTTTAAAGAGAGGCACACTTTGTCGTCATTTGCCAGGGAAGCCCTGAATTCTAGTAAGATAAAACCTTGCGTCTTGTTACACGAAGTGCTGGCAAGACAATTCTTGGATTTTTTCAGTCTTTTAAAAGCCTTAAAAGTTTTTAAAGTTTGAGAACTTCATAAAATAGGACATCTTTCCGATCGTGCCAGAAGTGAAACATGCGATTTTTGGTCAATATGTTACCATGTGATAATTTATTTATGTGATTACATCTAGAATTTTTCTTCTTAATATTGTGAAAACTAATCCACTTTTCATCCCCTCAAATTAAATTTCGCAAAAGAAAATTTTTTTTTTTAGTTATCAGGGGTAACAGGGGGTTGATACCTATTTTTTTAAGCTGAGGAACTCAATACATTTTGTAAAACTCTATACATTAATATGGTAATACAAAAATTTTTGCAACTGGTAAAGGAGATTTTGTTTTAGAAACTTCAAAAATTACGAGGCTTTAAGAGCAGCTCTAAAATTATTTTTGTTTGGTCTTCCAACGATCTCTTTCAAAAAAGTAAAATTTTTTTTTATGCAAGTATCAAGAAAAGTTAACTGTTATGCAGTCCGTGAGGCCGAACATGACAGTGGTTCAGCAGGTGATTTACAATTATAAAAAAATGAATGGAAAGCACGATCAGCAGACATTGGGCGCATATTCCTCATACATTACACCTTTCCTGAACACTCCATATTAGCATAGCTCTGTCTGCTTGCGTTGGATTTTTCACTAAGCCGTACCGTAAAAACAGTTTGTTGTGGATAATGTCCTTCAAGTATTTGATTAACAGAGGTGCCGAAATGCAGGTGACTTTTGATGATTTGTGGAAAATTCATTTTTTACCACTTTTTTTTCAGTTTTGAAATTGTTTCTATTCATTGTTGATTGTGATTGGAAGCTCTTCCGTGATTTCAATTTTTTTACCGGAAATGTCCAGCAACTAAGGATACAGCTGGTATTTCGTTAATAAACAGACTGTTCATGGACGAATATGGCATGTGCAGTTTGAACGTGGCCTTGAGTAATCGCATTGTAGGCATTTTCCTGATGTAATGTTTTTTTTTTTAACGACTGTTTACAGACGATAATTGCTAAGGTTAGTCATAAAATTCTAACGCACAAAATCAGCTAAGAAAAGGAGATCTTTTTATGAAAAAGTCAAGAAAGGAAGATCACCGACTGTTAACTGTTAGAAGGGTTTTGGTGTTGCAGACGCTCGTTACTATCCCTGGGTATCGCAAGTTTATTTTTGAACAATTTGTTAATCGCTGTAAGAAATTTTGCTCAATAATCCTGGAAAGACTAGAAGGTAGGTCAGCATCAAAGATTTGTTAACCAAGCATAAAAGTAAAATTTTTATTAGTCGTGAGAGTAAATGATATTTTTTGTGTTGAGGTTACTGGTGAGTCAGATTTGAAAGAATTAATGAAAGCTGGGGAAAAAATAATGGTCAAAGATGTTAACAAATATTAAAGTGATATCGTGGCATGGTAAGCGTAGAAAAAATATAGTCAGTGATATGGAAAAGATTCTCAGAATCTGCAACACGAACCTTTGGTGCACCCATTTTATCAAGTTTTTTTGTTGCTGAAGTATTGCTTCTTTTGCTACTCGAAATTATTCATTCTTGGTAAATGTTTCATTTGATTTGTTTATGCAGAAAATTCATATTTTTTTTCATTTTTAAATAATCAGATTTCTATATTGGTAGAAAGTCTAAGCTGTGTTCACCATCAAAAATTATCTGCTGGTTATTGTGCCTTTTACCTTAGTGGAAAAATTTTGTTTTAAGTAAGGCTATAATTAGCATAGCAGAAAACCATATGACAACGGCAACTATTGTTTGCCAATTCAATAAAAATCTCATAACATTTCTGCAGAATAGTTCCACATAGTTGTGAAAATGTAAGTCATTTCGTTATGAGAATTATGTAAGTGTTTGGGCTAAAATCATTTTTTTTTTTGAACAGCGTAAACGATCTTGAAAAATTTCCGGTACACTCTCATTTCTAGCTTGATTCTTTGCAGTTTTCCAATCTGTTATAATTGGTTGCCAATTTTTTTTATCTGCAGACTTGCTCTTTATTTTAAACGCTTTGGTAGCGCTTGTTTTATTTATATGATGTAAAGCATAATTGACAAAGTTGAGAATATTTTAATATTTGTGTATTGGCGTGGGTTTCATTTGATCTTAGTGTTCAAAAACTCAACGGGAATTGAGCACTGTATTTGCTGGTGTTGGACCACTTCTGCCAAAAATAGGCCACTTTTGGAAACATTTTCGCGATATTACTGACAAATACTGCTTTTGATAAGTATATTATTAAAGGCAGTGTTTATTACTTTAGTGGCTATCAATTTATAGAAACGTATTTAAAGAATTAATTACTTGAAAGAATTATACAGAAGATGATCTGTAACGCAAAAAACCAATTGCCAGTATCGCAACGGAATACAAGACTGGAAGAAGAGCACAAGATCTTACTAGCTGCTTACAAACTGGTCAACTGTTTTTTTCTACTTTTGTTCTTAGACTTAAAATAAGGTTTAATATTTTTGTTATTAACATTATTTCTTCTAAATCTTTCTTGGAGTTACTAAATGTTTAAATAATGTCTAGAATATGGCAATGTTTAAATATTGCAGCTGGAAGAAAAGAACAACGCTGATATTCATATGTATCAAAATAAAATTTCACGGCTTAAAGAGGCAAATCGAGATTATGCATTGGAAATTTTGAAGCAAGATAGTATTGTTAGCCAACTGGAGCAGAACCGATTACAAGTTAGAATTGAAAACAGCTTGAATTCTTTATCACAGATTATTAATTCTGATTTTGTTAGGGTGTACTCCATTAGCAGAGCAAAAAGAAAAAATAAAGGTAAGTAATTGCAGGAAAAGTTAAAAGCATTGCTGTTTATTTACAGGAAGCAGAAAGTGAAAAAATTCGTAAAGACGAAAAATTAATAAACGATTTGCGGAAAAACAATGCAGAATATCAACAAAAGCTGCTTCATCTCGAAGAACAGATGAGAAGCAAGGAAAAAGAATTTAGCTTAAGAGAATATAAAATTTGTGAAGCATACGAGGCTCCATTAGAAAAGCTACAGTTGTTCAAAGAGGAAAAAAAATTGTTAGTAATGCTCTTCTAGCAAATCTTTGTAAAAAAATAGAGATATAGTAGTAAGCTTAACGTACTAGAAAAATTGATGAGAGCTAGGAAAGTATCGAGTTATAACAAAATTACATTTGAAGACAGGAACAAACCGAGGAGTACAGGGTCCAGCTGGAAATTGCTTTAGAACAACGGAAATTATTGGAAGAGAAGTATTATGCTTTAAAAAATCTTTTGAATCGAGAGACTGAGAAAACAGAATCAAAACAGGAAATTCTTGAACCAAAACAGGTGAAGGAAAAAGTACGACATTCAAACTTGGTAATAAAACTGAACACATAATAGCTTATGTCTTATTTCCTGATGACGTTTCTCGGAAATTTTGTTGTTGATATATGGTATCTTTATTCTCAAATAAAATTCTGTCAAAACAACTTCTTCAGCTTGTTCAGTTTGAAAAACCATCTTTTACAGATGGAAGTTTTTAAAAATTCTCTCATTTAGAAATGTGAAACTAGCGTGTGATTCTCATTCAACTCACGTCCCGCTTTGAATTTTTTTATTCTTATTTTTAAAAGTTTTTTCTTTTTGTTTAACTACGACGCTAAAAAAAATTACTTTATTGATTTCAGGTGACAAATTCCTGCTTCTCTGTACTTTTTTAAAACTGCCAAAATCAAATATTTTAAATTTTAGTTAGATCTTACTGAAGAGAAGGATCATCTAAGGACTTCAGTACCAGGAAAATTTACTACAACGGATATACACGAGTTTGGATCTTTTTCCAATTGGAAATATCAGCTTAACAGTCTTTTAAGAGCTGTTTTGCGACCTGTTGAAAACAACTTTTTTTTAAAAACTTCTACTTGAAATGCTAAATCACTTAACTGAAATATATGAAAAGCAGAATACAGTGATTTTATTTATGGTTACATGAATTTGCTACTATTTTAACTTGCGAGCGATACTGTAATAGGATTTGACTAAACTGATAAGTTTTTTTGTGCAACAACTTCATGATAATAGATTATATAAATATATTTTTAGAAGAAATGATCAGTCACCGCTGTTTTTTACCGGTAATTTGAAAGCCGAAAAAATGGAACAGTTTGTAGCAAACGAGAAACAATTGGTTGAAATTTGCCAGGAAACGGATTTAAAGCTTACAGAGTTGCAAAAATCAGTAATGCGAAAACAAAGCATTATTGAAGGTGTTTTTTTATTTAGTTTTTTTTATTTTGCAAATGTAATTTTGAAAAGCTAAACTATGGGTCTGTCGATCACCGATAGCTAAACTAAGAACTTTATTACTACAATTTTCTTATTTAACATTTCGTCATGTGTCGCTCTAAAGGAATACGGTACTTTTTGTTATAGAAGTGTCAAAAACAATTTGTTGATTTTGTGTTTGCTCGTCAAAAAAGGCTACATAATTTATTCACTATAGATTGAAAGAAATAATTTTAGAAGAAATGATCAGTCACTATTCTTTACCGGTATAGTATAGTTGTTGCTATAATTTACCATCGTAAATTGTGAACCTTCTGCTAGAATGGTATTGACAATTATTTCTGAAATTTTAAGCAGATACGTTTGAGCTAAGTACTTTTTGACTGTAACTTTGGGAATGTTTACTGCCAACAGAGGAACTTCAGAAATATAAATTTGTTTAGAAGATTTTTTCAAATTTTTTTTTAGAATCATTTAAACCTAATTGCTGGACGAGAAAAGAATCTGTCACCTGCATAATTATTTAAATAGATTGAACACTTTCAATAAACAATAAGACTGTGCTGAAAAAAAAAATAGAGACAGTTTTTAGTTTAAATTCTACCAAACGTTATAATTTAAAAATCGTAAAAATTAAAAGTAATCTAACTTCTACTAATTCTAAGCCTAGATCTATTTTAGAATTACAAAGAAAACTTTCCAATGCTGAAAGAAAACTTCTTGTAAAGTCGACGGAACTTAGAAGTTTGAAGAAGCAAAATCGTGAATTGTCTGCTGAACGGAAAGCTTCAAGGTTGAAATTACTGGCAGCTGATAATGCGAAGCAGATACGGTTGCAACATATGCAAGTTCAAATAGATAAAGCGTTACAACAAATTCGAAGTCAGAGGTGTCATGGAGGAATTGTTCTACTAATATGCATAACAAAGTTTTTTTCCTCTGCTATGAGAAAAAAGTTTTTCAGAAGAAATGTGCAAAATGTGGATTATAAAGGTAAAGAAATTAAACACTTGCAAAGCCTGATAGAGAATCGCGGTACCGAAATGCAAAGTGTAAGAAATAAGGCTTTTCTAAAAAACACTTTATTGGGTATTTTGACTAACAGTGAACTAATTAAGCGATATTGATAGCTTAGCACTTTAGGTGAACACCCCTTACAAAGATGCCGTGAAGAAGGTGCAAAAAACAATGACAGCGGTCGAACGTAGACTGGTTAACACGAATCAGCATATTGGTGAAAATCGGTATTGGACTTTATGGTTAAGCTCTGAAGCATTCTGAGGAATTGAACAAAGTGTTTTCAGTTCAAGTTTTGTCTAAGTTACTGGATCTGAGAAATTACAGTACGAGTTTTTGAAACTGCTGTACATAGATCATGACATATCAGAACATTGCAAAGTCGAGGTTAATTCAGATGATTATGATGACAGACATTTTACATTTAAAGGGAGAAAAAAGGAACGTTGTGATCGTATAGATCTGTTTTTGTAGAACCATTTGAATACGTTCAAACCGAGAAGTGGTTTGCTTTTTTGGCTAAGTCATTTGACCTCTTGTAATTTTTTT